GGAGTTCATAACCCACTTGAATCAAAGTGTGAAATATGATATATCAAGAAATTTGTAATGTTCTGAACAACCAACAATAAAAAATTAAAAAAAAAATAAACATCTAATGCATATTAAAAAAAAAAAAAAAAAAAAGAAAAGAGCGAAGCTCTGGCCTCCTTGATCTGTGGGAGTGTGAATCCTGCTTTCATTCACAGGTGCCTGAGGGCACTTCCGGGAGGTTTCTCTGGCTCCAGGGTGGGGTGGGCATGTGGTCTCAAGGTGGGTAGCATTCACTAGAGAGCTTCAAGTTTCCTAAAAGCATGAACTACTGAGGGTTTGTGGGCTTTGACATTCCTGTATCAAATAAATCTCTTTTAAGAAAAAAAAAGTTAACTTGATCAATCTCTAATTATAGAGTCGACATGTGGAATAATATTCACAGTCAGCTCTAAGTGCAACTGAATCCCATTCAGATGAGATGTTCATGGGACTCTAGATGGCCTGTCCCGCCTCTCTCAGGGCACCCTTCCTCTGCTCTACTAGCTGTCACCCAGACAGCATTTTTGAAACTGCAGCTCTGGCCATTTTAGTAAAAGCATGTTAGAGATTATTTCCCACGAACCCCACGAGGTGGCTCCCAGGCCATTTTCCCAAACCCCACTGGCTTGTCTTCCTTTCTGACCCTCTCAGAAGTGGAGATGCACAGGAGCAAACAAGCTCAGCTGTGTGTGTACCGCCTTGGGCCTGCCTTTTATCCAGTCAGGATGCTTCTCCTGCCTGACATCTCCTCTCCAGATATCTTCAGGTTTCAATCAGGATGTGTGCAAAGGCCTAATTTGCTCAGAATACCTAATGCAGGGAGGGCAAACAGGTTTCGTGTTGTTCATTAGCTCTGACTGATTGGAAGTGGTTGCCTGGAGCTCTGATCAATTAACAAAGATTGCCAGATATGTGAGTGTGTGGATGCATGTGAGTGTGTGCATGCGTGTGAGTGTGTGTGTGTGAGTGTGCACCCATGCATGAGTAGACATGTGTGAGCAGAGCTGCCGGATTGCCATTAGATACTTTGCATCCCCTACTTAAGTTCTCATTAACTCTTTCTATAACAGGCTGCCATGCTTACGACCTGGATTATTTGCCTTGGAAATTTTTCCTCTATTAGCTGACAGTTGGGAAAACCTTAGTTAAAGCTTTTGTCGTTGTAAAAACAACCTTAAACAGACCCTGGGCAGGTATTCAACAGAGGTGTGCTGTGGTCCTGCCCAGGGTGCTGTAGTCAGGAAGTGGTGAGCTGTAACATTCCAACATGCTAGGTGGGGACAAGAAAATGTCCGGTTCTGTGGAACATCAACAGAGCACCACCTCAATAGGTATTACCAGATGCAGCATGAAGGCCCCCCTTCCGTATTAGCTGCTCTGGTATGAGAGGACACCCCAGGGTGCCATAGCTCAGGGCTGAACTTGTGTGGGCCCCTGCTGATGTGTGAGATGACAGGTTTCTCTCACAGTCCCCACCACCCCTGGTTTCCTATGGACCTTGAAAACACAGGAACATTCATGACTCCTTTTGCAGAATGGAGCTCCACAAGGAAGTCCCAGGTCTGCAAATGTGGCAGTGTCCCCAAGCTCATGCATGATCAGTGAAGGTTGCTCCCCTTCTGGTCCAAGAGTGTTTGCTTGGTGCTAAGAGCTGATGACTAGAAGGACAGGAGCCCGAAAGAACACTGACTCCTCAAAATAACCCGCTGGACCTGAAGTCACAGGGCCTCCTACAGATCACTCTCCTGTCTTCCAATCCATACATGCATCACAGATCCGTCTTATGAAGACCTGAGAGTTCTGAACAGCCACCTCTGGGTGAAATCTTGGGTTTCTTTTTGGGAGTGGGATGGAGGTCCTGCATCCAACTTGGCCACCATATCTGTCCCTGTCCTTTATGGAGGAAGTGGCATGGTGGACTAGTTAAGCCCACTGGCTCTGGGAATGTTCAGGTATGGTTCAGCTCCTGGGTCTGGCTTTGCTAGCTGTGTTACTTCGGGCAAGTTATTTAAACTTCTATGAACCTCAGTTTCCCCATTTGTAAAATGGGGGTGATAACCCCATCCCCAGAGTGTAGTTGTGAAGATTAAATGAGGTGAGTTATAAAAGTTACTCAGCTCGATGTCTGGCACATAGTAAGTCACTGTATTTACTGTGATAGATAGAGCTTCTGGTAGTCCAGAGAACAGAGCTTAAGAAGTCCAAGGCTCATTGGATAAGGACAAAGTAACATGGGAAACACTGACTGGAGTAAGTCACTGTTTTCGAATGTGATAGGTGCTGGCAGCAACCTCAACAGGGCCAAATCTGAACTCTTCATGTTTCTTCTTGAACCCATCCCGCCGCATCTCCTCTCCCTTCATCCTCCCCACTGTTTAGGTCCTGTCCTTGACTCACATCTGGGATCCAGACCACAGGAAAAACTTGCTACAGGATCATGCCTCCTAGGGGGTCTTCTTGCTTTCAACCTTGGCCCCTTCAGTTTATTCTCCACACGTTGGAAGCGGTCGTGTCCCAAACCATCCAATAATTTCTAACACACTCAGATAAGAAGCCAGCATGCCTACGGTAGCCCCAGGCCCTGCATGTCTTACCCTAGATCCTCTCGGACTCATTTTCTCCTTCCCTCCCCTAACCATACCCCTCCCTCCCCTTCCAGCCACAGCCACCTGCTCCCTGGATCCTGCCTCAGGCCTCTGCACCCCATGGCTCCCTCTGCTGAAAGGTCTTCCCCAGATGCCCTCATGGCTTGCTCCCTCCCCTCCTTCCTGGTTCAAATGTCACCTTCTCAATGAGGCCTTTCTCACCTACTCTATTTTGATCCCTCATGGTAGGATGAATTATGGCCCTTACAGATAAGCGTGCCAGGATCTGTGGAAGCTGTGAAAGTTGCTTTCTATGGCAAGCGAACTTTGCAGATACCCTTAAATGCAGACTCGGCAGGTAGAGAGATTATCCTGGCTGCCACCGGGCCCTAAATGCAACCATATGTATCCTTATAAGAGGGAGATGGGGAGACTCAACTGCTCGTGGGGAGAAAAGGTAGGTGGTAATGAAAGCAGAGATGGGAATACTAACCACAAGTCAAGAGCACCAACAGATCCAGGGACAGGAAGAGGCCAGGAATGACTTCCTCCCCAGAGCCTCCAAAAGCCCAGGGCAGCTGATTTTAGATTTCCACTCCAGAAGTGTCAGCATTTTTGAATTGTGAAGGCCACCACGTTGATGGAAATTTGCTAGCAGGTCCCCTGCACCCCATCATCCTTTCTGCTTCGGCCTCCCCTGCCTCACTGAGTTTCACTTGGTTAGGATCGTCCTCCCTTCCTCGCAAGAGGTCGGATGCACAAGACCCGGAACCTCTGTCTGTGTGGCTAAGTGACACCAGTGGCCGGCTAGTCTATTCTCTTTCTAGCAAGGTAGCTCATGAGCCACGTGCAGTTAAGTTCATTTCAGAGAAACAGCAGGGCCCGGGCTTGTCCATATGGTGGTCAGGGCAGGTGGCAGGTCTTGCTGGGCCCACTAACTGGGCTCTAGTGTCTATCCTGGGCTGCAGTCCCAGGAATTCTAGCATAAAACACAGAATGCAAAGACAGCTGGCTCCCTCGGGCTCTCCTGCTGGCGACCCGAGTTGACTGGCCCTTGCTCACTACCTGCCAGCGCCTTTCTGTGAAGATGTGGAGGAGGCCTGCATTTCAGAGAGCAATTCCCCGAGAGGCTCTGAGTCCCCTTGAGTCTCCAGAGGCTTCCTGCTTCAGAAGGGAGCGGGTACCGCTATCCCCCCCACCGGATGTCATCAGATAATTTCCTTGCAGGTTAGGATTTCAGGGCCCTGGTGACAAACTCTTTGGGCTGAGCCTTTGAGGGTCCTCCGACACCAGGCCATGAGTACTGAAGAGCTGTTAACAACCATGGTGGGTGTGGGGGGTCTCTGATCAGCCCTCACCTCCAGCCATGACCTCCTATCTCTATCCTGTCATGCTCCCAGATCCAGCTGATTGCAGAATCAGCCTGGTGATGCTGTTGCCTGCCCTTCCTGAGCTCCCCTGAACCTGTCCTGGAAAAGTAAGCATTCTCAAGGAAGGGCCCTATCACTCCATCTTGGCACTAGGTGGAAAGCTCTTGGCAGGCTCAGTTTCAGGAGAGGCCAAGGAGCCACTGACTCAGGCCAGAGAAGGGCTTGGACACCATCAGCCAGCAGGGGGAGATCGGTTTCCAGGGGAATGGCAGAAGCTGAGCTGGGTAACAGCTGAGACCTTGCTGAGGGGTAGAGGGCAACGGATCAAAGTGCCGACTTTGATTCCTGCTGGCCATGTGATCTTGGATATATGACAGCCTTTCCAAGCCTCAGTTTACCCATGTGTAAAATGAGGACCGTGAGAGCACCTATCAAATAGAATTGCTGAGAAGCTTAATGTCCGTGAGAATAAATATGTAAATGGCTTGGCAGAGTGCCTGGCACAGGGTTAGCACTCAATAAAGGTTAGCTATAGTGATGGCGATGACGATGATGATGGGGTTTAGTGGCACAAGGACTTTATTTTGGGCAGAGGTACCAGGGTTTGAACTCAGGGGCACTAGACCACTGAGCCATATCCCCTGTCCTATTTTTTGTATTTTTAATTTACAGACAGGGTCTCACTGAGTTGTTTAGCGGCTCGCTTTTTGTTGAGGCTGGCTTTGAACTCGCGATCCTCCTGTCTCAGCCTCCTGAGCTGCTGGGATTACAGGTGTGTGCCATTGTGCCCAGCAGGACTTTATTTTTTGACCTTTGATGAAGGGCAGACACAGACCATGAAACCTCCCAGGGCTTCCTCTGGGATGCCAGGAGAGGACAAGGGTGCTTGCTCCAACCTCCACGGGCGCAGAGAGGAGCTGCTCTCCAAGGTCTGAGCTCCACATCCAGGTCTGTCTCTGGCTGGGGCAGCAGAACCGGGGGGACAGTCACAGGAGAGGTCACCACTAGTGAGCGAGTCACTTACCTTGGTTGTCATAGGAAGTGATGACCTGGGGCTGCTGAGGGTGCTGCTTCTCTGCCAGGTTTCCTATTTAAGGAAGACAGAGAGGCCTGCAGTGACCACTGGGAACACAGTGGAATTTTCCCTGGACAGAGCAGGGAGCTGTGTGCATCTGCAAGAAAGGCAGGCTTGAGCACATCCACAGGCCTGGCCCATTCACATGCACACCCCCGTGGACACCCCCATGGTGTGCACACCACCTGTGAACCAGCACAGAGATGCACCTGAATATGGAGGCAAATGCCTGGGAGCCCATGTGCACATGCCCCTTCCACCTGCCAGCAGGAGCCAGCGCAGGCTGGGGCTCACAGGACCAAGCCGGTAATACCCCTAATGTTGTGGAGCCATAACACAACATTAGCCATAACACAACACTGACAGGTGTCACTGCATACTCTCACATGCATGGAGACCTCATGCGATCTCCACATATGGGAGGTTCTGACTTGGAACTTGAACACCAAGTTTCCTAAATCTTAGCTTCCCACCTCTCTGTTAGGAGAACAAGGGGCAGCTGTCATTATGCCAGCCTTGGAGTGGGGACAATGTGCAGTTTGATTCAGTTTCATAAACATCACAGGACAGGTTCTATCTATACACCATAGATATTTCTGTCCTTTGAAAACCACTTGTCCTTAGAGCCTAGTAGGGTCAGGCTACTGCAGAGAGATGCCTAGGCTCTGCCATAGGCAATCAAAGGGGAATCTTCAGGCTTCCCTGCTTCTCCTATGAGAAGCATGACCTCTCCCTCATCCCTGCTGCCTATTGGCTGCCGGGGCTGTACCTTGGTCTTACGGAAGCTGCCCTTGAACCTCTGCTTCAGGGGACAGAGGAGGAGCTGGGGAAGGGCCAGACTATGGCAATAGGTGGTTCCACCACGACCACCCTGTCCTGCCATCTTCTTCCTCTGGCCTCCGGCTGGCCTGCAGCAGGCCTGCCACAGGGAATGACCACTGGAACTAATGCCTCAGCCTGGGAATTAGTTTGTTCCTGGGGTGCTGAGCTGAACAGATTCCATTTGAATGACTCCTTTTGTACATTCAACCAAATGGGTCACTCAGATGCTTCCCATGCCTGATCCCAAGCAGAAGCCAGTTGAGGTGGATGGGAAAGGGGACCCTGAGCTGGTCAGGATCTGTGATCCACCTGGCAGGGCCTTCCCTGGGACAAGCCTGACTGCTCTAGTCTTCTCTGGTGAATAAGCTGAACCAGGCCCCTGAAGCCCCCAGGCCAGGGTTAGTTAGCCGAGGCTAGGCTGTGTCTGCCTAGGGTGATATGGCATGTTGGTTTGGAGCCCCAGGCCAGAACCAGGCAGGACAGGGAGGCTGCCTCTTGTGGGCACAGCTGGCTGCATCTCCAGGAGGAAACAGGATCCGGGAAGGGAATCCTCAAGGAGGGTGATTGGCTGGCATAGCTTCTGTGCGGTATTTATAGTCAGGGCTCTATGACTGGTTTCCCTCTAGCTGTAGGGCATTGGATACTGTGCTGCTAGGCAGACTTTGGCCAGGACCAAGGAAAGCAGCCAATCACAGCAGGGGAAGCCCGTTGCTGGGCAAGCTATGGGTGGCAGTGTGGCTCAGTGCCAACACCTGCTGCTTCTAAAAGTTTGGAGCTCTCCAGGGCCCCCTCCCCACACCTGCCAACACCCAGGTCCAAGGAGTGTATAGGGCAGCAACAGGGGGAAAAATGTGCCCTTCTGGATCAATGCCATGTTCACTGGTGCACACTCTACCAGCCCAGGCCATCAGCTGCTTCCTTCTGAGATGAAAGTATCCAGTTGCCAGGGCTGGGCGGCCTGCTGGTCACCAGGAATGGGTGTCTTGGGCTCCACCAGGGCATGTATGAGAAAAGATGAGCTTCAATACCTGAAGCCCAGATCTTGGAATTTAGAAACACAGAAAGAAGTAAGGCATCTTCTTCTTTCTGTTTTAATTTTGGCCTATTACAAACATGCCATTTGAAAAATAAATGAAAATTCACTTTGAATTACATGCATTGGTGGAGTGGTAAAACCATCATCTTTTCTGGAACCAGGACTCTGTCGATTCCCTTCCCAGCTCTGCATTTACTCCAAACTCTCAGCTCTCAAGGTGGTTTTGCAAGAACTATTTTAATCATCCTCTTTATGGACTAAGACCCACTTCCTATCTCTTTTTTAAATATTTTTTTAGTTGTTGATGGACTTTTATTTTATTTATTCATACACAGTGCTGAGAATCGAACCCAGTGACTCACACATGCCAGGGAAGTGTGCTACTACTGAGCCCCAGCCCCAGGCCCACTTCCTGTCTTTTACAAGAGTTTTCTAATAGTCTTGAAATAGTTATTGCATTATTTTGTATTTTCCACTAACTTTCCCCAAAATCAAGACCCTGGAAGATGGTAAAAAATAGCAGGAGTTCAGTATATTCCAATTTATTCCTGAGATTTCCTGATGAATGCCAGACCCGGGGAAGGTCAGAGAGAACTGCAGTAAATAAGGATGCTGTGTCTCTTTGCACCCACCTGAGGCTTACTTTGCCCACTTGCCCACTCATACGCTGCCCAGCATGCACGCCCTGCAGGCCATTTCTGAGGCTGACAGGTTTCTGGAGGTCTGGTCTTGATTATAATTCTCACTAGCCCATAACTAGCTATGGTGCCTGCTAGAGCACAAGCTGGTATGTCTACTGTCTGATGGTCCCAGGAACAAAGTAAAGAAAGCCTTTGTACTCATGCATGCCCAACAGCCAGGACACAGAGGGGTGGTCTCCCTGGTGAGAAGCAGGCATATCCTGAGGATGACTTCTACCCATGAGCTGAGCAGGGGAAACAGGAAGACACTTCACCACCATGATTTTGAGACTCTACAGCAATGAATGTTATTATGATTATAATTTTAATGTAGTCCTACAAAGACAGGGGTTCTGGACTGCCTTGTTCACTGTTTCTTCTGAAACTGTATCTGACACTAAAGATATTTGTGGAGGGAATGAATGAATGAACTTACTTTTGAAACCCCATCCTTTCCTTTTGTTACTGTAAGAAGGAAGACAGAGCATCCTTATGTGGTTTTACTCAATTGCAGTCCTATTTGCCCCTTTGGGAAGGGTCACGGAGGGTGGGTTTTTTTTAGACTGGCATATGATAAGCCCGTTATCTGATTCCAGGGCTCACACAGCTGGGGTCTGATGGATTTCCATAGGGGGGCTCTGGAAGTGCAGGTCTGATTCCTATTAGAATTCTCATGTATCATCACATGTACTGTCACTGATGTTTGTCCCTGAAGCCTGGGATTATGAATCCCTGAAAGGCAAAGAACAGGGCTCATTATAATCAGCCCATCCAAACCACTTCCAGAGGGAGGCTGAGTTTTCAGGGAGGAGAGATGTCTAGTACCAGAGAGAGAGAGAGGGGCTTTGGAAACTGACTTCTTATTGTATTCTGGGTCCCAGGCCTGCAGGCCGGCAGGCAGCTATAAACAGAATCCTTGACTAGTGCCTCCCCAGGCATCAATGGCCCAAGGCAGGCCACCATCCCCTCCGTTCAGAAAATAAATAAATAAATAAATAAATAAATGGATAGCCGTGTGACATGCGCAGACCAATCTTCTGTGGGAACACAATCAAACCTCATCACCCCAAGGGAGGCCAAGTCTTCCCTTATTGCTTAGCCAGCAAACAAGTGGGTGCTCAAGTTCATGGCATTGCTCCCCAGCTCCAGTCTCCAGGAGAGCAGAGGCCCTGATGCCAGGGAAAACTTTCCAGGTTCACAGCAGCCCTAGAGGCCTGGCTGAATCACAAGCAGCCATTCTTTGCTCAGAGGTTAGATGTCTAGAGCCAGTCTTCAAATGAATGAAACCCAACCCTTCCAGTTATTTTTCAATGTATTAGATTGCAGAGGTTGAAAGGAAAACAGAAAGGAAAGGAGAATTTACCATAAAGTTCATTTCCTTCTAATTTCTGCCATTTCCGGATTCCGTTTCCAACACCTTGGAATCCTGTGAAATAACAAGGACACTGGAGTGAGGTTCTCTGCAGAGGGAGGCCCAGGCAAGCAAGCATGTACTAAGCGCAGACTTATTTGTGTTAAAGTGGGGCTGGTGGAAGTTGATTCTTTTGGGATCCAAGGGAGGCTGCCCTCAAATGAGATGCATTTGAGGAAATGAAGGCAACCCTCAAAATTCAAAAACATTTAAAAAAACCCGTTAAAATAGAATTGTCATAGAGATAGGCATGCCCACCCCTCTATGGGAATGGAAAGTGACAGTAGCCTGCTCTCCCAGCTTCCCTTACAGCTAGAGCATGGACCTGTGTGGCCTAGGCTCAATCAGATGTACCTGAGTCAGACTCTGCTGCTGATGCAATGGGGAAGGGAAAGGAAGACTTCTCTGACAGCAGCTGGAAGTGATAGCTGCAAGGTCAAGTTCCTGGCATGAAACTGACATATGTTCTGGCAGTGGGAGCTCCTGCAATCAAAGTGAGTTCCTGGCATGGAAGAAAAGTCCAGTGCACCTTGGTGGCTGCAGAAGTTCCCTCAGCAGACCAGCTCTGTAGCACACTTTGTGACACAATTCCTGGAAGCTCAGCCTCGAGTCTAGCTCTCCAAACTTGCAATCACTCACAAGCCCCCAATTCCACCTTACTCCCCTTCTTTTTTGTGAAGTCCTCCAAAGACCACTTGGAACTCCCACTGATGTACTAGTGGAATGGAATGCATGAGTCACATAAACTTCTGGGATAAAAATCTAGGCGTATAGCTCTTCCAGACTTGGTGCAGGCAGCTACAGGCTATCTCCTCTACTGCCACAGGTATATATGAGCTCTCCCCGCCAAAGCAAGCTTTGTGAGAAGTTCTGCTCTAATGGAATAACTGGGAAGATGCTAGAGCCAGAGAAGAAAGGAGAGAGCATCCACTGGCTTTGTAGCCCAAAGCCCTTGCAACTAGCCTATCTGCGCTCGCCTGGCTGTCTTGCCCTCTGACTCCTTTCTGCCACAAGGCCACCCAGTGTCTGAATTGTGGCAGTAACTGAGCTTCACTCTTCTGATATTTGCAGAGGTGAGGAACAGCCATTCCCCAGTGGGGAAACGGTCATGTAGAGGGGACACCTGCAAGTGGCCGGTGTTTGTCTAAAATCTTGTGTAATCATAAGAGGCCTTGGGCAAGCTAGTTTTGCTTGGTGTTTTCGTCCCTTGGGGCTGCAGCTCAAGGAGCGGGCCTGCAAACTGACTTGGCCTGGGGTCTCCTGAACATCACCTACCGGCAGGCATTATTGGAGGCTTGTTCTTTCCTTTTTTTCCATTCTAGAGCAGAACTGTCTGGTTGTTAATGAGTGACAGTTTTCTCCACTGTCACAGCATCTTTGGGAAACCTCCATTGGGAAAATATTTGTAGAAATATATCAGCTCCTATCAAGCAGGGGTGCTTTCCTCCCTGAGTCATGGTCATGAGTGCAAAATGTGATGGTCTAGAGTCATGGGGAGCTGTGCTGTATACCAGGTACCTTTCAGAGAGGTGTCCCTGCCTGGCATTTTCTGCTTCTTTGTGTCCTTTGCCCTCCTCTGGTGTCAGAGTCTTTAGGACAGACATGATCAGAGGGGTGAAGATGTGGGAACTCATGGGGTGACTTGGAATGGGACCTTCTCCAGCACATACATATGGGGGGAGGTCTGGATTGTAGCGCATGTAGTAGGAGCAGTCTCCTGTCTTTCATGAAGCTGATGACCTCTGCTGATTTCCTACTTATAAATACCCTGTGGGCCATTTATTTCCCTTTCTCCCAGGATCTGCTCTGAGAACTAGAGAACCGACTAACTTATACAACTCCTGGCCCCCATATCCTCCCAAGACTGGAGCACCCCTCGATGTTCTCAGCCCTCCAGGGTCTATTTCTTTCCCTGGACAGCTTCCCCAAGATCTCTCCAGCCTGGGTGGCTTGTGGTACAAGACCATTCACAGAATTGGTGCTTTAGTGGGATAGGTGGAGGGTGGCTGGTCAATGTGCATTGGGACTTTGGGGACAGAAGAGCCAGGGGCAGAGTGGCAGCCCGCTCCAAGGAGCTCCAGAACTGGAGGGGAAGTTGGGGGCTGGGGAGGCAGAAATCATTTCCTCATAAGGGCTGTCAAACATCACTCCCAAAGACCTGGTGTACTGGCAACCAATGCACCCCAATACCAGCCTGGGAGACCAGGACATTAGGTTCCCATGGTTCTCAGGGCCTTATTGAACCTCCATTATTAACCATTTATACTCTATTCACATTGCTTCTGAGTTGAGGCCAGGGTCCCCTTCCACAATCACTCTATAACCAGTTACTTTATTTGACCACTTTTCACTTCCCCAGAAAGTCTGTAGAACAAGTTACATTGATGGACAAGTTCAAACTGAGAGAGCAGAACCATCCCACCCAAGCCTGTGCTCTTTCTATCTGTAGGAGGCTGGGAATGAGACTGAAGAAGGGAAAACTGAGGTTATAAGTTGTGCAAGGCCACCTAGGGAGCTCCTCGTCTCAGAATCTGGCTCAGTACACAGATGCCCCTGGGTCCCTCGTGCCCTGCAGTGTGCTACATAGGGCAGCAGGCCTCTGCCACACATGAGTCAGCCCGAGGCTCTGGCCCCCTTTCTCCAGGGCATCCTCCAACCCTGATCTGCACCCTTCAGGGAGTGGTTCCCAGGAAACAGGCTCCCGGGTGACCGAAGCACCCAGGCCCACACTGGGAGTCAAGCTAGGACAACCACCCGACTACGCGTTGCCACGGGACGCCGGTGCTAAGGCGTGGAGGCACAGGGGAGAGGACCCGGCTTGCTGACTTCTTTCGGGGGCATACGACACTTCCCTCGGCGGGCGGGCCCTGGGACGTGGAGGCCAAGGTGCCAAGGGGCCGAGGGACCCGGGCCGGGCGCGCTTTACCTCCTCGGCGCTGCAGCAGCGCGCCCGGGTCCGCCTGCGAGTCCATGTGCGCGCCCTGTGCGGCGCGCCGCTTCTCCGAGTGCACGATCAGCAGCATGTCGATGGACACGGCGTTGCTGTCCTTCTTCAGCTCCATGGTGCCACCTCCCTCCGGGCCGGCGCGCCGCGGCTGCTCGCGAGGCTGCCTCCTTTGCAAATGGCCCCGTGCGCACCGCTGCCTGGCGCGGGAGAGGACAGGGCGCGGGAGAGGGCGCTCCCCCGCCGCCAGAGCCACTGGGCGCCGCGTTTCGCTGACTCTGCCAAACACACTATTAGGACCCGCCCGGGAGGGCGCTATCCTAATGAAGCGGCTCTAAGTCACCTTTGAAAGGAAATCCCCAAGCCTAGCCCTGACCTGCACCCAGGCCGTGGTCCGCAGAAGCGGCGGGTTCCAGAGCGTCCCTCCTGGTGTCCCTGGCCTCTCGCCCCCTGTGCTTGAAGCGCTGATCCTGGGCTGCGGGACTGTTCTCCCCCATGGCTGGCTGCTGTCTCATCCCCACCATCTCCGAGAACTTAGGGGTAGGGGGTCCCAAAAGGGACCTCCTGAGAAAAGTCACTGGCCAATGCAGAAATGGCACAGTGCCATCAACACTGAGAGTTAGTTCAAGGAAGGAAAGACAGCAAGGGGGTTCCTGAATAAACTGCAAGGTGTGCCGAAACTGGTCAGGTTTTGGCCTTAGCCTCATTCATTTTTTGGGTGGGTTTTGGAGGTTGGCAGCTTTCTCTATAGGAGGGAGTTGGGTGGGTGTTGGGGTCACAACCTCTGCATTATGGCTAGTCCAAAACTGAAATCGTGTCCACTGGACATCAGGTTAACTATCTTCTTTAGCCTGAAATGGAAGTGGTAAAATCTCTGTTCCTTCTAGAAGACTGACTCCTGCTCTCAGGGGAAAGGAGGAGGGAGGGAGGGAGGAGGCTGGGGCACAGGGGGCTGCCTGCTGCTGTCAGGGAGCTGGACCTGAGAACCCTCTATTTTTAGCTGGTCTAGCTTGCCCAGCCAACAGCAGCAGGGCACTTGGCTGTGGGTCTAAGGAGTGTTTACATGGGCATCTGCCTGGTAGCCTTTGGCACTACAGGCCCACGGGGTAGAGGACAGTTCCCTAATTTGAATTTCCACCATGAATAAATGCTGTCCACATGGAGGGCTTTCCTCTGGAACCCCTTCTAACGTCAGACTATACTGACCTGCTTTGCAGATCGGCCCAGGAGCTTCCATCCTCTCCTTAGAACTGCCAGTATTGGGCGGCTGTGTTCCAGTACCGGCTCCACCACTTGCTGGCCATGTGATCTTGGAACAGCCATTTCTCCTCCATTTTCTCACCCGTATCATTGGGGTAATAAAAATTCTCACAAGGCTGTTGTGAGAATGACATGCATGTAAGGTGCCTGGCACATAGTAAGTGGTCTCCAAATGTTAGCTGTCATTCTTATCTCATTTTGAGGGTGAGGAAAGGGACAGGTGGAGTGATAAGCCAGTAATGAAGCCAGGTGGGGGGGTGCACACAGCCACACCCTCAGATTCTGAAGGTCTTCCCCCAGTGCCTTTGGCTTTCACATGGGCCTATATAAAGGTTGCTGCCCCTTTGTATCACCACCACCTCATCACCTACTGGGCAGCTGTCATTGGCTTTTGGTAAGTGTTGAACTGGTGTCCCTAGAGATCTGAGCCTATGGATGGGCAGCTGGAGGTGGATGACTCCCAAGGCAGGATTTTTCCTGCTAAATTGAGTCCTGTTCCGTGTTTACATGTGTATGGGCTCTTTCTCTCTTTGTCATGCATACACATGGGCACATACATGTTCAGAAGGGTCTGGGAAGCTGGGGGAAAAGGACTATGGACCATGCAAACTTTCTGGGTTATTAGAGTCTGCTGAGGTGGCTTTCAGGTGCCAGAGTTACTTCTACTGTCCTGGGACAGTATTGCCTCTATCCTTCAGAGTACAGAAACCATCAGCAGCTTCTGTCCAATAATCCTTGTTGCTGAGTGGGGAAAGCAGGGAGGCTGATGTCCACTTACCTTATAGTAACAGGCTCTAACTCCCATGCTGGAAAGTGTCACTCTTAGGGATTCTCTCACCATGATGTCCCCTCCCAGAATTGCCTCTGGAGAAGATGAAGACCTGCGAGTGTGCCAGCCAGAGGTCTACTAAGACAGTTTGGGGGCATCCTGCTTCTCCACTGTGTCTGGAATCTGAGACTTTGGAACAGGGCTTGCTTCTCATTTGGCACCATTGACCTTTTGGGCCAAATAATTCTTTGTTGTAGAGAGCTGTCCTCTGCATTGCAGGATGTTTAGCAACAAACCTACTAGATGATAGTAGCACCTATCGTGACAACCTGGAACATCTTCAGACACAGACAAATGTTTCCCAAGTGACAGTGAGAGCAAATGGGGCCAACTTGGCTGATCTGAGAGATGCTACTGCCCCTGAATCCTAATGCTACCAGTACTTGGATCCACTCCCCAGGGGCTCTCCCTCATGGCTGTCATGAAATAGCCCAGTTCTTGGGACTTTCAGAGATACTCCCTGCCAAGAGCAAGAGCATAAAGATGAGATTAGCTTCTCACTCCCCTCTGCACTTCCTGGCTTTGTTCAAGTCAGCTGCATCCCTCTTCCCAGGACCTATTCATGGAGACCTCTTCCTGGAGGGAGAGGGAGATATTATGGGAAAAGAAATGTATGTACATGCATTTGGATATATCAGTAAAGGGGAGGGGAGCAGAAGAGAAGGCTGAGCTACTGACATAGCATTAGACAGAGGTTCTATCCCATCTGCTCAAATCCCACCTCCTGCTGGTCCTACAGGACAAAGAGCAGATTCTAAGTCCACAGTTCACACCCTGAGCCTACCCTCCTTCTGTAGACCCATGTATCCTGCGGCCAAAGCCATTTCTTCTATGTCCCAAACACATCTGGCCTTTCTGCCTCTAGGTTTTCCTTAACATTCAAATTCCACCATCCTGCTGCCATCTTGAATAACACAGGCTTCAAGGATCTCTGTATTCTCGCCTATGACAATAACATTTCAGTCAGTGTTGGACCATGTAGATATTGGCTCCATACCATTAAATGGAGCTGGAGAATTCGCATCACCTGGTGACATCGTGACCATGGTGATGTCGTAGCAAAACACATTACTCATATTTGTGGTGATGCTGGTGTAAACAAACCTACACTACCAGTAAGTACAGCACATACAATTAAGTCCAGTAGATAACACTGGATAACGATAATAAACATCTATATTCTTGGTTTACATATTTATTACATTTTATCATTATTTGAGAGTGCACTTTTTCTACTTATACAAGATTTTCTATAAACAGTATGTGGTGGTATGTCACCAGAAGCTTCATACCCCTCCAATTGATTAGTCTCTTGATGGCGCCACTTTCTCTTGTGCTGGACTTAATCTGATCTTTTTGTTCACCATGGCCCTGGGAGCAATAGGCTGCATAGGTGTGTAGTAGACTACATTCCATCTAGGTTTGTGTAAGTGCACTCAATGATGTTTGCAAAATGATGAAATCACCTAAAGATGCATTTCTCCGAATATATCCTTCTTGTTAAGTGATGCATGACTGTCACATGACATGTCCAGCTGTCACTTACAGCTTGAAGCTTCTCTTTCTTTTACTTGAGTTGGGATTTGTCAGTTGCCTGAGTGGTTCTGGCCCTGAGCTGGCTTCGTTGCCTTGGAGATGAGGGCTAGTCATCAGGCTCCTGGTAGAGGAGACCCTGACCAGAGAGGGGGGGGGATGTCCTGATTATCTCTTTTCTCAGAAGTAGGCGTTCTTCAGGCGCCACCAGTCATCATAACCCTTTTAGCTTTCTTGGGTTCTCAAGAGGCAAGTTTCTCTCCCCCCAACAGATATGTGTGGGCCAAGGAAAGGAAGGCTCTTAGTGGGGATTTTGCAGACAGGGCATGCTCTTCTCCATGCACACAGGGGGAGGAATCTGTCTTTCTTCCTGTGTCACTCATTGTTCGATGTCACCATTCTGCTAATATAGAGGAACTCAGTGAGCCACAGAATCCATTCCTTGAAGATGCGACATCAGGTCTGTGCAGCTGCAGCCTCTCCAGCAGGGCTCATGGCTCAGCTCTGCTTCCTCCTACCTGCACCGTACTCCCGACACCGTGTATCTTCCGTGGGCTGTCTTTGCATGGTCCACACCTAATAGATGAAAGACGGATGCTTAGAAACCTAGGAGACTTACATAAGATCTCACAGGCATCTTACGGGAAGCAGGGGACATCTCAACCTTTGATACCCACCCATTTCATATGCTCCAAAGCTCATAGGCTGAACAGTCCCTACCCTGTGATCTGAGGCTGTTTAGTGCCCAGGCTAAAGGGAAGAACAGCTGTCAGCAATCACTGCGAACCCATCTCTCCCCACAGGCTTCTACCTAAGCCTTGGAAAAGATTCTCTGACCTCAAGCCTTGATCTGGTCCTTTGAGGACAGATTTTTTTCGCTCTCTGTGGCATCAGTAGGGGGGGACACATGGTGGCATTGGTAGTAGTCACAAGTTGGTGGCCAGGAGCACTCAATAGTCTTCAGGAACAGTGAAGTAGCCCTGCCAGGGATGGAGAGGGAGGCAGAAGTGCACCATTTTCATAGACATTAAAAGGAATTTAATAAGCCCCTCGCTGTTCTGAGGTGAGAATGACTAAGCTTCTAAGAAGGCTTTCTGCTTCTGCTCAGTTGGCCATGAAGGTGCAGCCTGGCACAGACAAGGTTGGTCGTGAGCCCCTAGTATGTGCAGTGCTGTACAGTGAAATGAAAGAGTAAGCCCAGGGGAGGGACTCCTATCCTAGGTGAAAGTGACCGATGAATGAGTAGGACAGAGGCACTGAAGTAGGGTGTGGGACCTCCGGGGAGAGGGGGAGCCTGGGTGGAGAGGCTGGAAGGAGTGCTCTAGGTGAGAGAGAAATTGCATGTTTTAAGGAGCGGAAGCAGAGCCATCTGCCTGGTATTGTGTGGTACAGGGAGAAAGGGTTGGGGTGTGGGCATGGAGCTGTAGAGCAGCCACGGGTGTTCTGCCATGGGCAGGGCTTCGCTCCCATCTGAGGAGCAGTTCAGGCCACTGTCAGGAGCGAGGGGAGAGCACAGAGTATTTGCAAGGGTGAGAGGGTCTAGGTCTGGCTG